GAATAGTTCACCATTATTAACAGGATTGTAAAAACTAAATAATGAAAAAGATGTCGCAGCGAACAGATTTGAATAGCAGAGACTTGTCAGATGTCAAAAGCCAGTGACATATTCCAGAGCAACTAGATATGTATTGCTAAATTGCATTCTTCAATTATTACATTACCGTGAAATGGGGTGAATAGAAACTGCTGGGTGAATAGCAACAAAAACGGGAAACTTCTTTTAAAAAAAATCAACATTGGAATTAAACCTCCCAACGCTTCAAATTTGTTCTCAAACGGTCAACAGATGTCGCCATAACTGCTTTAACAGGCCAAAGATGTTTTATGCTGGCAGCCCTGATTGCAGTAGCAACCACCCGTCGGAGTGAACACATGAGCCTTTTTCATCACTAGCAAAACTTTATTCACAGTGGTTAGCTAAAAACAGGTAAGACATTGAGTTTTTGGTTAAAGTAGCTTTAAGGTGTCTGGTTCACATTGCCTATTTCAGAAATTGCTTGTCTTGCTTATTTTTTTGCTATGATGTAATATAATACATAAGCACACTTTTAAGTAATTTTGGGGTGAATAGAAACACGCTGTTTCTATTCACCCGCTGTTTCTATCCACCCCATAACTGTTTTTTCTTTTGCAGGAAAATGCCTCGCGTTTATAAACCAGACCCTCGAGGTAAAACATATAAGAAAGTTGATGAAACAACTCTAAAAATAGCCCTTGCTTCAATTGACAACGGGATGAGTTATAGAGTGGCTCACGAAACATACAACATTCATTATTCTGTGCTTTATCGGCACCACAAAAACCGAAATCTGAAGCTTCATGGAGGACAAACAGCCCTAACCAAACAAGAAGAAGATATTTTAGTCCATCAACTAATAGTTTGTTCCGATTGGGGGTATCCACTTGACCATTTGGACGTCAGGATGATGATAAAAAATTACCTAGACAGTAGAGGTAAAACAATAACGAGATTTAAAGATAATATCCCTGGCAGAGACTTTGTCTATTCTTTTTTAAAACGTCACAAAAATGAATTAAGATCTAGAATCTGCCAAAACATCAAGCGCTCAAGAGCTGCTGTTTCTCCCAATACTATCAATGCTTATTTTGACAATTTAGCCACGGAGTTGAAAAATGTACCGCCATCAAACATAGTAAATTACGACGAAACAACTTTAACTGACGATCCGGGTAGAAAGAAAGTAATCTCGAAAAGGGGCTGTCGCTATCCAGAACGTATTTGCAATACGTCGAAGTCAGCCGTTTCTATTATGTACGCTGCTTCAGCTGATGGAAAATTTTTCCCACCATACGTGGTTTACAAAGCTAAAAATTTGTATACATCTTGGACAGTTGGAGGACCAAAGGACGTCAGATTTAATAGAAGTCCATCAGGTTGGTTTGATGCGATTTCCTTCTCAGATTGGGTAGAGAGCACTGTCATACCTGCAGTAAAAAATCTACCGGGAAAGAAGTACTTAATTGGCGATAATCTGAGTTCACATTTTTCTGCAAGTACGGTATCTCTTTGCGAAGAAAATAATATTTCATTTATATTCCTCCCGGCTAACTCTACTCATCTGACCCAGCCTCTGGACGTGGCATTTTTCCGGCCTCTTAAAACAGCCTGGCGACAGATCCTTGAAAAATGGAAAATGGGGGCTGGTTCAAAGCATTGCACGGTTCCAAAGGACAGATTCCCATTCTTGCTAAATGACTTGTCAAAGGCTATTGAGCCTAATGCTGGAAAAAATATACAATCTGGCTTTAGAAAGTGTGGAATTTTTCCACTAAATAGGGATCAAGTCTTGGGACGCCTTCCGCAGCAAAATCTTGACGAGACAAATGATGAGAATCAGAACATTGAAGAAGGACTTAATAACTCTTTGGTAAACCTTCTAAGAACAATGAGATATGGCGATGGTCAAAATGTGAAGAGTCGACATCGTAAAATTCAAGTTCCTGCTGGCAAAAGCGTTACAAGTGCAGATTTTGAAAGCACGTTGGATAAAGACGATCAAGAGGATACTGATTTGGAAAGAAGTATGGAAACCTTAGATGAAGATTCAGACCCGGAAATGAATTTGCCCCTTATTAATTTCATGCCAATAATGGCAAAAGCTCAAGATCATTCTTCAAGTGAAGACTCTGACATGGAAAAAGATCAAGATCATTCTTCAGATGCAGACTCAGAAATGGACACTTCACTACCAAGTTTCACCGATAAGTCCGAGAATAAGTTGGATACAAATAATTCATCAGCATCAGTCTGCTTTGAGGGTAAATTGTTTCGATGTGTTTCTCCTATTTCGCTTGATTTAATAGATAAAGGAACTTGGCTTCTGGTGTGTTTTCCAACAAAATATCGAAATAGACAAAGAAATAAATATTTTATCGGACAAGTCATTAATATTACAGAAAATGACATTGAAGCCACTTTCTTAAGAAGTCGCCCCACCAAACACTCGTCAGGATATATTTATGGATTTCCAGAAGTTCCGGATGTTTCCACCTTTCATTTTAGCCAGGTTGTTGGAGAGGTTTTCCCAGTTCATGACGAGATAGAAGCATCTACGTCAAGAAGAGACATTTTAAAATTTAATTTGCATCAAAGTTGTTTAATTTAAATAATATGTTTAAACTTGTTACATTTCTATAGAAATAAATGTTTTTTTTTGTAAAATTGGTGTTTTTGTCAGTTTTTTTTTTGTATTTATATTTTTCTATCAATTTAAAAATTTTTTCAGGTTTTTCTATTCGCCTTCGTGTGGGTAGAATAGCAAATTTGACCAATTTAAATGGGTGTTTCTATTCACCCCACATTAAGGGTGAATAGAAAAAGAGCGTTTTTATTTTTTATTTGGAAAACCCCCTATTTAAAAAAAAATCTATTATGCGCTTTCTGATCTACAAGTCGAGACCTGTAGATTCCTTATTTTTTGTTGTCAAAAAGGTGACTACCATGTTAGCAACAGAGTAGGAAAGGTCCGAAACTGTTTCTATTCACCCCATTTCACCGGTAATTTTCTCGGACAGTACAACGGTTTTTATTTTTTTACTCAAAAATGGCGCATCGAAGGAAAACAGTTCAAGAGAGATCATTTTTAGAATAATTTTTATTTGCCAAAAAAACCATTGGCATACCATTTTTTTCTTAAAAGATATCGAAGTCAATACCCGTACGCACGCCACTGTGTTAAAGCTAAATATTATTTTTGCATTGAAAAATATGCAACTTTATTAACTTTCACTACGTACTAAATGTCAGTGAAATATCTGAAGAGGTTCTGAAAATATTAATTTATTTAAATTTTTTTCCTAAAAATTCAACACCCCGAGTTTTTGTAAGGAAACATTTTTGGGCCATACTTTATAAAGCAAAATAACATTAATTTCTTATGTAGGTTCACACCCTTAAATATTCGCATATCATTAAGGAACAACAAAATCTGAACTTACCAATATAGCCTTTTGCCCACACTACCTTAGTCTAGGAAAAATATTGTAATTCGTTTTATGTTTGCATATCTTATTCAAAAGAACCTTTTAACTAATCTGTATGTTGGTAGGCCAAAAATTGCGTCAAAAATGTTTAAACAATTTTTAAGCGAATTCCAAACGTTTTTTTAAGTTTTTTTGGGCCATTTTCGAACAAAAAAGTTTTTATGAACTTTTAATAATAAGTGATTAAATATTTGAATCATTTTCATTTTCGACCCCGAAAAACTATGATAAAGCGTGTTGAAAAGCGAAAATTTTAATGTTGCGAAAATTTCGTAAATATTCTTCAAACATCCCTTAACAAAATCTTAAAGAATTTTGAGGGGTATTGCTATTGTAAACTGTTGTTTTTTTAACTTGCACTTGTGAAAAGAGTCCCTTTTTGAATAAGATTATGTATGCAAAAAACGAATAATATAAAATGTTTTTCCTAGCAGATGCGAAAATAGTTCCTGGACTATACGGAAGGTTAAGGAAGGTTTGGGTAAAGGCGAGAATATACATGACAGTAAAATTAGCATTCCAGTGGCCAGTAATTTGCATGCTAACTACTTGCCATTCGAGCTGTTCGAATAACATGACAGTTTTGCTAGTGCTGGTGTGTAAAATTTTAGTTTTGAGATGGAACTGCTTCATTTGAAAACAGTATTGTGATCGTGTTAGCGTCACAGTGCGTAGATTCCTTTATCTTCTTTAACTCTTGGGTGATGAGTTGTTCTTAGCTTTTTTATTTAATTTTGATAACATTTCAATGTCAGGTTATCATTCATATGCTCCAATAATGATTTATAAGCGTCGTCTCTAGCGGTTTTATTTTTATACACTGGAGATGATGTATACCACAAACATTGATACTTCCTATACTTCATAATAAACAGTAAAGTCTAATCGCCCCAACAGGCCATTTTTCCACGATTTTAAAAAAATATTTGAGGACTAGCCGTTCGTCACATGCGAGGGTGCTGGCAACGACGTCGTTCACACATGTTTCGACACGAATGAAATGCTTCTCCCCCTCCACACACTACGAAATCCGTCTAATGTCACACAAAAATCAAATGGCTTGCGATCTACTGGCATGGTTTCTAACTGGCACATGCAAGTAACACGCATCTTAAAGTGACTGGCACGGTCCTATGCGTGTAGCTGGCATCTGTATTTTCGCCTTAAGTACGTCAATGGTTTGTGCCCTTGAACCATATACATAGTCGGGTCAAAGAAGGCCAACATGTGCATATGAATGTCTGCATCTCCAAGCGGATTACTGATGACAATCTTCTTATTGGTGGCCAAATGAAGTAGATAGATAGATAGATAGATATTGCTTATTCAATTATTAAAAAATATTGAATATGTCAAAAAGCAAGGAACACAAACATATCAACGGAAAAAAGAATTTTATTTATTACTAAAATATAAAGGTTCATAGAGTTCGAAAACACCATAGATATTATAAAATGAGAACGATTATAAAAAGAAACAATCGAATTCTAGCGGTGAAAAAGTGGGAGAATAAATAGAGTATAAACAACAGTCAGGATAATAAAATTAAACATGAAAAATGATAATTAAACACGGGTTTTTACATAAGTGGTTGCATCAGAATTTTCTAGAGGTTAAATGTATACCGCGTTTAAATTCGAGAAGGTCTCATACCTCCCGTATCAACGTATTAAATCACCGCTGTAATATACAAAAACTATAATTCCATAGCAGACCGTTTTGACATTAAGATCAATTGTTTCAGCCAATTTTTATGTTCATTTTATGATTGTTCTTGTATGCACACCATTAGTTGAGTTACCATTATAGGTGTATTAATCTGTAATCGGATTCGTCTGTTGGGCAATCATGTATGTATACATAAATTATCAAATAAACACAGAAAAAAGATAGATTACATTGCGTCTCAAAAATGTGATGCCAAAAACAAAAAATGTCAAGTAGGTCGAGTATCTATGGCGTGACTATTTTCATACGATGAAATACAAGATCTGATTCAACTAATAACTTCAACATATGTCAAGGCAGCTGACTCCGTAGTTCCAAAGAATTCTATAATTTCGGTGCAATTTCTAAATAATTATAAATGAGTATTAATTTTGGATATCTTATTAAATGTTTCCAGCATTTTTTAGCTTTTGAATGCAGTTCATAATACACATTATATATTTTGAAACAGTTCGGAAGTTTCCTTGATAATATGTCTCAGGGTTATGGGATCAATATGACGATGGCGAGATTTTACTACACTTTACTTGGGTAAAACTTGAAGATGAGTACAAATAACTGAGTCGATACCTACAAGTTTTTAATTTAAAACACAAAAAATGTCCCGCGACCAGAGACCGTCTTCCTTCACAGCGTAACGAGGACTTGACTCCCTACCCTATCCCTCAGCCCTGCACTCATTCCCGAAAACGCTTCTCAATTGTTTCAATGTTGATTTTGGTTCAGTTGGCCCATTTGTATCATTATGACGATATAGGTAGCTGCACAAGTGACCAACTGTAAAAAATAAATAAGAAAACCGTGGCAAATACAGGCTAGTAAATATTGCTACTTACATTATATATCAGCGTCATGTCGACGTCGAGAAAGTTTGCTGCTGTGATTTTCAAATCCCACTGAATTATTTGGTTCAAGAAGATTTTTGTCTACAAGAAGCAGAACAGTTTTTTGCATTTACTCAAAGATACAAAAACAGGTTTTGTTAAAGAAATAGGAGGGTATTTTTTTAATCTGTTTTAAGAGCTTTACCAGTATCTTGTTAAGGGATCTGGAGTATTGTAAAGCTTTCACTTGTAAGACTATACCTCAGCGTATATCACAAATACTTCATTTCTTACTTTCAAATGAAAGATAAGGATTAACTTTTACGAAAATATCATTTTTTCTTTAAGGAACCCTCTGATTGCTATTTTTCGAAGTTGCATTTTGGTGGTAATACTCTAGAATAAAATACTGTTTTATATGCCGTCTTTTTTTGATTTTTGTACAGAAGGATGCTCTAAGTTATAAGTACATACACTGTATAGTACTAAGGAAATAGACGTGAAACTGTAAAAAATCGTTGTTTTTTTGCAAAAAAAGGTTCAAAACCACTTATTAGCTTACATGACAGATGAAAATACATACGTAAATGATGGTATTTACTTAGAAAACTGTGTGGAGGTGTTGTTTTGTAATTTTTCAATGTCTTCTTGAAACTCCTTAACCATTTTTTTCGCGTATTTTCGATTAGATCAAAGTTTTTGCGTTTATAAGAAATATTTGACAGTACAAACAATTCTCAATGGCCATTTTATAACGCTCATTTCGTGACAGATAAAATAAATGATGTCCATTGTTGCCAAGTTGTACCTTTGTGGGGAGAAATACGTAATTAGAAATGAGGTTAATTGCAATTAAAAGTCTTAATTTATTGTAAATTGCTTGATTTATGAAAAGTTGTCCCAATATTTACCGAAAAATAGATGAAATTTTGAACAGTATGTGTCTAAACAGTGGAAAATGCACCAGCGGCTCGCGTGACAAAAAATACGCGAAATAAGCGGTCATTGCATATAAACCCAACTTCGATTCGTCGAGTTGGACCACCTAGCCAGGTCCACCCAACATATGGACGATGCAACATTATAGTTAAAGATCAACGATAATTTCATCGAAAAACTTGCAATGTTCTTTATGTTTTCATTATTTAGTGATTTGCAACAGCTACTTTTTCAATTATTTCTCATATTTATCACATTTAATTAGGTATATTTTGTAACATCAGCTTTACTTTAAATAATTCTTCAAGTACATACATACAAAAAGTAAATAGATTATAACTATAATATAGGAAAAACAACAACCGGAGTACTTTTGTGAAGGGCATAAGGCATTCTTCAAAAAAGTCTCATTAGCTAACGTTCTCGTAGGGCACAAGGTAGATATAGTACAGTAAAACCTGCCGGCCACACCTCCAAATCGCATTTTCATGCCTGTACCGATTGCACATTTTGCGCTAGTATATAAGTAAGAATTTGGCAAATTAAATTAAGGTATATTACTATCCATGATTTGGCAGCATCGCAACTAGATGGAGATGATATGACAGTGACGGTGGTGTAGTGATGGGAATAATTATCTGAAATAAAAGAAATGACTACTTAACAACGAATTATTTTCATCAATAAAATATTGTAAAATTGCATCATTGCGATGAAAAGTGTCACAGTAACTTACAGTGTATGTGATATTCATATAATTTTGAACAATCTTTTGTATAAACAAGAAGAAAACAGCTTATAAAGCAGTATTCTATAGCACACTATTAGCACCCAAAATGCAACTTTAAAGTACTATAAAATAGCAAGCAGAGGATTCCTTAAAGAAAAAAAGATATTTTCGTGCAATTTACATCCTAATCTTTCATTTTAAAACAAGAAATTAAATATTTGCGATATGCTCTAAAGTATCGTTCAGCCCTTTCACTTTGATCCAAATTCATTTCAAAAAGCATCAGGATCTTGATTAGGAGCATTGTAAACTTTCCACTTGATGCTTATTTTACTTAAGTAGTGCTTTTAAAAAAATATTATCTGTTTTAAGCCTAAAAACAAAACAATCGGGTTTTGTTAGATACAGTTTTTAATAAAAAAGCTTTTTCTTGTTCTGCTTATGTAGTATAATGCATTTTTCAGTTGCGGGTGTACTTACCTCAGAGAAAATTAAAGGTCCAATCATTTCTTTCACATTAAAAAGTATTTTTGTTGTATTCTTAATCTAAAAAAAATTATGCGTTGTAAATACAAACGAAACAATTAATGCTTTTTGCAGTTGACTGTGCAAGGAATGAAGCATATTGTAATTGAGCTTACTTAAGCCAATATACAGTGATTTTCAAAAAGGTACCTTCCCCATCCCTATCTATTTTTTGAACGGGTCACGTCAGCAAGATGAAATTTAAAATTTAAGGTGACAGCTGACCGTTATCTTTGTACATTTTTGTAAATCGAATGGCAAGTAATGTCATTTTGAAGCTCATCTGTTATAACCCTAGAGTATACATTTGCTATCTTTCAAAGTTGCGCACTGGCAGGTTATCGAATATGGGCGTAATTATCAAAACGCTATAGTCTTCTTTCCGCTCCGCGTCGTACGGAAAACTGCAGCCGAGTGCGGAAAAGTATCACTTTCCGCACTATAGTTTTAGCTGAGAGTTGTTAAAATGAAATTTGATAACTTTAAATAACAGCTGCAATACAGGCTTTTAGTTATACGGATTTTTGTTTATAACTACAGTTTTTTGGAAAAGCACTAGAATGCAAAACGTTTTAGAACCGAACTCGACATATAGTAAAGTCATTTCATTCATTAATTGAAATAAATTAAAACTTGTACGAAATTTGTTTTTTCTAAGTTCATAGATAGATTTTTCGAATATAAAACCCCGCTTTTATGGCCTATAACTTCTCAGGGGGCAATTCAGCATACAGGGTGTAAACGTTATGGTAGTCATTATTCAATTGGGTGATAGAGGGGGTAAAAAGCAGCAAAAAGTTTCATATAACATGGGGGTCAAAACGACATTTTTTTTAGAAAAAAGGGACTTTAAAGTAAAATAAAATCTGACAACGCCGCAATGCCAGACGCAAATTACGACGGACCGCAGTGTAAATAAAGATGGAGTTTGTTAGTTTTGGCTCTTAAGTATTATTTCATTATTTGATAATGTACTCGTAAAATGCAAACAATTAAAAAAAAAACGGACTTACCACTAACTGTCTCAGCGCTTCACGTGGCGCGTGAAAGTTTATTGAACGTATTAAAAAAAATTACTTATAAATAGGGAACACAATTTTGATACATACACTGTTTCTTTTTTTAAAACCCACACTGCACTTTTTTGTATTTAAAGAAGGTAACCTGTCTGTCAGGAGTGCGAATATTAGTGGGCTGAACACTTCCTGTATCTCGAAGTCTTTGATACACTTGCACAAATGTCCTTCTGTCTGTGTGTACCCGTTGGCGAAATCTGTCGCGATCAATTTGAGCTTTGATTTGATTTGAATTTTGACGAGCTTCACAGTAAATTAACAACATGTCGGTGGACTCTTGATTCGAGAACATTGTAAACAAACACAACGACGTACGCGAACAAAAACAAAACACGCCACATTCCCGATAACTAACCACTGTTACCGTTTGCGATCGATTGCCGGTTCGATAAGAGTGATGACTCGCTGTTGTCATGTGTGTTTTAAATATTTAATTCAATGAATTTTACTTACTACGGATTTTGGCTAAACCTAGAAAAACTTGATGCCATTTATTTGTTAATTTCCCAATTCAAAAACATTTTAGATTATATTAAAAAAATTAGTAAGATTGTGGTGATTGTGTTCGATATAAAGCACTTAAAGTCGTAAACTATAAAGCCATTTAGACAAAAATCTATTGACTTTTGGCCACGGGTCATATGAACTTTCTGACTTGTTTTGACCCCCCTATTCCCTATTACCCATTTTAATAATGACTAGCATAACGTTTACACCCTGTATATATAAGTTGCCTTAAATTGCAATGTACACTCGCCCCAGCTTTGTGTCGGTTCTTATGAGAAATACCCTGTATACATTTACGTAGAAATCTACCGAAATCATTAATAAATACTGATGGTATGGACCAAAGTACCACAGTAATCGTGTTTCATTCTACAGATGTTACATTGATTCTACATATATCTGTTTGCCTCCAGAAAATGAACAATAATTATCTGTCACGTTTAGCTATTTAGTACATACAAAAGAAAAACCAAAACTATGCAGATTATCCACTTTGCCTGGGTAAAGCGGATCGTACAAGTAAATAAGTATTAAAAATGGTTGAAAGCTTCATTTTATACAAAACTGGACTGTAAAACCACCATCAGTGGCCTCAAATTTTGAACATTCATACAACCAATACAACCAATAATCAATAATTTTAACGGAATTGCTTTGTATAAGTTAATTGAAACTTTATCGCTTTTTCCAACTAAGATCCTTGGTTTACTCTCCTTTCAAATTTATGTCATCTGCAGTATATAAATAACAGTGAAAATAAGAATATGGTTATCCTCTGCGATTATCTGCTTTGCCCTGAGGCACTTTGAAAACATCTAGTTTTCTATCAAAACTATTAATGCAATCCAACGGATTTGTATATCTTGAATGGTCGGTTAAACACATGAACCTTAACAGATCGACCATGACAATGGTATAATCCAGGAACTAAATATAATCACATCCTTTTTTTTTTAGAAAATCATAATTTGCTGACTGGGAGCAAAATAAACAGGTTTTCCTTATACTGCCGTACTTAGATAAAAGGCAGAAAAGTTCATTTACTGCTCTTTTTTAAATTCTAACGACAATACATTTCTTATTACAATTACAAAAATAGTTTTTCACTTAGTCAGATATTTCATATTAACTACATTTCCTAAGCATGGAAGCGGTAAATCAGTTCATCAAAGCAAAAAAGTAGTAGTCTTCAAACTGTACTTCTTTTATTCTCTGTATGATACAGATACTGAATTGTCACTCTTTTATATAATATAATACCAATCACATTTTGACTTACAACAAAGAATGCCGTTTACTTTCGGCCTCAGCAACTATTATGATCCGAAATCAAATTTAAATTTCTATAAAGTCATGTAACTTAGCAATATTCATTCGCTTTTGTACTGCCGTAATAGTACTATTTTTCTCAGAATTTGATTTTCACAGTTTATTGCCTTTTACAACAGACAATAGACAACTATTAAATAAAGATAAACGAATATGTGTATATGCTTGGTTAATAATGGGTGAAATTCAGTTTATCCGCTTTTCCCAGGTATCCACTACCCGCAGCAGACTGACTGATGACCTACCTCCGCTGTTATATGACTGCATAAAATCGCCAAAGTCATGAAGTCACTCAATTTTAAAGCCGTCCATATTATATGAACGTATATATTCTCATTATCGTGTCCCCCAAACAATCTGTTGTAGATAATTCTTGCAGAAGTGAATCCGACACAGGTGAAAATCAAAAAGCTCAGACTGATTCCTGCCAGGAGTGCCCATGAAAAGCAACGGTTGATGTCTTTGGTTATTTCGCAAAGGTCATAGTGAATAAAACGATTTTTTCTTAAGCAGCTGAGGGTATCGTTTTTTTGACGAACCTTGATTACCTACAATATAGTTCTTGTTAAATAATTCATCATACGATATTACTAGGTACTCTGACTCCATTAAGAACCAGCTTTAGAGCTGTGACACTTAATCCATCAATAACGTTCACGGCAACGACAGCTAAGAGGAAGCCTTAAGTTGAGGATAACATTGCCCATAACTTTCGTGTAACCGTTCAGCACAATAATTGAATCAATCAGTTCCAAAACCTGAAGTCGTAAAATTTCTCAAGTATCAATAAGAACTCACAAATAAATGAGTTTTAATGGTTTAATAACTTATTATTTAAATAGGAATGAATATACTGATTAAGTAGTGCGTAAAATATCCAGTCAAGGAAGCATGTTGGTTAAGTAGCTTTTGAAATAGCCGATTCAATTATACTAAGTGACATATAAATCCGAACACCCAGTTTAAATGGTTTTATTTTAATAAAATTTTGTATAAGTACTTAATGAAGCATAATAAGTAAATGATAAAAATTTCAAAATGATTGCACTGCTTTAACGCCCTTTGACCTTTAATAATGTGTGGATGCACCCTGATGTGCTACGCATTCTCCAACGCGCCTAGGCATGCTTCTGATCAGGTGGTCAATGTCCTCCTGTGGTATCTTATTCCAGGCAACCACCAGCTCCTCTCGAAGTGCTTCTAGAGTCTGAGCAGGACGTTGCAAATTGAGCAATCTCCTACCCATCATATCCCACACGTGCCCAATTGGGGATAAGTCGGAAGATCTTGGTGGCCATGGTAACAATGTGACATCATTATGTTGAGAGAAGTCTATTGTGACTCTTGCAACATGTGGTCGGGCATTATCTTGTTGGAAAGTTGGATCTGCCAGGGTGTCAAGATAGGGTAAAAGATGGGGTTCTAGAACTTCGTGGATATATCGCTGCGCGTTCATGTTAGCTCTGATGAAGATTAAGGGTGACCTGGAATCATAAGCTATAGCACCCCAAACCATAACTCCAACAGTGTGATGAACATGTCTTTCAACAAAAAACTGTGGATTCCTCCTTTCAAGACGTCGCCTTCTAACCCTGGCACGACCATCGTGCATACCTAAACAAAATCGAGACTCGTCACTAAAGAAAATACTGTTCCATTCCTGATCCAGAGTGACCGTTGTCTGCACCACTCAAGGCGATTACGTCGGTGTTCTCGAGTTAAAGGGAGGACCCAGTGTGACCGGAATGAAAATAAGCCAAAACTTCTCATTCGTCGGTAAACACTTCGCATGCCAATAAGTCTTCCGTGTTCTGCAAACCATTCATTTGCAATGAACCTGGTATTGGAGAAACGGTCTCTTAAGGCCAATAATCTTAGGCGGCGATCTTCACGGTCTGTTGTTCTACGGCGGCGTCCAGTGCCCCTTGCTCTTTGCGTACGGCCTTCTCGAAGCCATGCCTGACAACACCTAACCACAGTGTCTACACTTCTTTGCACTCTAACTGCAATTGCCCGAAAAGAAAGTCCAGCTTCCCGAAGTCCCACTGTACGGCGCCTATCAAACTCACTAAGTTGACGAAATCGTACAGGTCTCCGTACTCTAGGCAACGTAACCGATCGTAAAGGATATCAAGAACCAAAAGCCGCCAACGTTCATTCTTTACTGCGGCTGAAATATTCATTTTTAGAGCGTTAGTGAATTTAAAAAAAGCAGTATAAAAACCGGAATGTCCAACTGATAAGGCTGAAAATTTTTTCACTTGTTATTTACAGTAAGATAAATACATTCACCAACTTCTATTAAAATAAACTGGGTGTTCGGATTTATATGTCACTTAGTATATTTGATGAAAAAAATTATTCATTATATTTATTTTTGAGGCAGATTTGAAACAGCAGCTTTTCAACTATATCTCTTGTCTGTCTCATTTTACGATAAAAATAACTTCGGGGTAATTTTGGTTTAGCTTTTTTTTGTGTGGGTTATTCTAATATATCGTTCACTGCTTCACTCATGTTAGTAGTTTACCAGGAAAACTTAAAAAATTGTTTGACGTGCTCTTTTCAAATGTTTGCTTTTACACCTCATATCTTCACTGCTGGAACACCAAATTGGAAAAATTGCTCCTAGAAATGCAACAGAGATATTATGGATATGATTTTGGGTGTCATTTTTTTAATATGATGGCGCTAGCAGTAGACAATACAGTAAAGAAAATATTCGGAGATCGCTCTGAAATGCAGGGCGTTACCTAATTAAATGATAATATTTAAGGGCATGGTTTCAGATTTTTAGGTTCATTTTAAGAAGAAAACTTCATATGAACGTAGGTCCTAAACGTCTCAAGTTAAAAAGTTTTAAAAGATAAATCACTGGCACGCCACTGCTTTTTTAAAATGTAAGAAATCAAATCTGTATTAATTTATTATCGGATTTGATCTTTTGATTTTTTTTGTCCGACGCACATAAAAAATATAACATTGTTATAATCATGCAGAGAAACGGCTATTTTTTTAACCGAAAACTGTGCATCGGATTGAAAAAAATCAAGCGATCAAATTTGAAAATGATTGGGGTTTTAAGCATAGTTATTTCAAGAGAAGTCAGTGGGGTATCATCATTGTCTGACAAAATAAGCAGGTCAACGCCACTTCTGGAAATTGAAAAAAAATGTACGTTAAAAAATGTCTCTTGATAGTACATGAATGCTAAATTTCATTAAAATATACCAATATTAATAATGATGATCCTTTGTGAAAATTCACCACCCTGTATCTTCAAAATTGAGATGTTCATGTGAAGTTTTGTTCTTAAAATGGACACAATCGCCTTCTTGGCACTACTTTTTCAATCACTAAAACTTTAGACAGTTACCTGCGCCACTTGTGGAGATTGAGTCAAATCTGAAAGTATTTGGTTCAGCCGTTGGAATCTCTTCTTTATCAGGTAAATATAGCCCAGAAATTGATTCTCGACCATTCTGTTAGTTAATAGTGTTCCACAAAGCAAAAGTAGCATATCTGATATGCTGTTGAATATCGAAAATCTTAACCAAATCAAAATTGATGTGGTTTTCAACAAGACCCTTACCATTGCGAAAACTGAAAAAAAAGTACTCCTATATTCCCGAAACCAATCGGTTTTGCTCTGAAATGTCCAGTGTATTCAACTATGTGATTCATAGTAGAATGGTAATCATTTAAGGTTGGGGAGTGTAACTCCCCATCAAAGAATCCGGTAAGAGCTTCAAATTTGCATTTTATTTTGCTTTGGGACTTTTAGTAACGGGGACACGAACATCAAAGGAACCGATAGTACCTGTCGCATTTGTAGGTATAATATGTGCCTGGGTTCTATGGACAGCCGCAGATTCTCAATAACTCTCGCCGTTTGTAAAGCGATAAGCAAAGCGATTATTTGCATTAATTAGCCGTCAGAATCTATTGTGCAACATTCTGGCAGTCTGCGACATATTGCAGCATACATATGTGCGCAGCTAGTTACCTTACTTGTTATATTGGGAACGTACCTTCATGCGTTCTACATACCTATAACCAATACGCTATCCTCACTTTCCCCACCACAAAGATCTAGCTGCACATCAATATTGCTTAACTTATTAAGAGACTCAATCAGTACAGCTCGTTTGATTAGAATTGTTGTGAGCATGATCGGCATAACAGAAGTCAAAATATAAACTGCTTTTGGATTTTGTGAAAACACCAAGCAATGTATATGGACAGCTAAAAGATAAGAATGAAGAGACGTTAGCCGCGTTCGTTTGAATGATGCGTTGCTGAAGAAATCATTTCCTCCCCATCAAAAGACTTATATTCTTGAACATTAAATAATATGCATAAACATTTGTTAAAATAATTCACGATTCAATCTACACTTATAAAATTTTACTAGTTATTTAACTATGTATAAAGAACTCTCTTCCGAATAACGATGAGATTATTGGTATATTGATATCCTCGGCAAAATACAGTGATTTTCGACCTTGGCGGCTGGCGCGCAAGCGCAGCTCACGCATATTCAAGTGTTAATGCCATTCACTGTTGCCATGAAGCACCTAGTTCTTGAAGTCGCGATCACTTCACGCTTATTCACGAATTTTGTAACAGTCGTGATTTAGAAATATCAGTTATTAAATCACAGATAGTGAAATATATCAGTGTTTCCACAGATGGCTTGATAAGACCATATCTGACCCTTTGTAGAACAAAGTGGCCCCTTGACCCCCCTTTTTGAAATCTGACCCGTCTTTCCACTAACACACCATTTTTAGTGAAACTTCGTCGGTCAAATAAATTGTAACTTTAACTACTTTTTGAACCGTGGGCTTAACGTACATTTTTTTGTATTGTTGTATGTTAGCATTTTGGATTTAAGTTTTTTGTTTCTATCGGACGATATATATTTTTAAACTGATTAACATTGGGTTGTATTCTGATTTGATCTTTCAAAGTGCTTAGCTATCATAAAAACTGTTTGAGATTTTAGTTTTTAATGGTTATTTTTTGAGCCTAATCATAAACTGTATAAATAAATATAATTTAAAACCTTTATTGTATTCTTTTTCTATTAGATATCCAGTGCCTCAGTGAACTGCAGGGCTGTAGCGCTTTAGGTCAAAAACTACAATTTTGATAAAATTCCCATGTCATACCTACCAAAATTGTCATTTTTGACCTAAAGCACTTAAGCGCTGCAGCTTCGTGAATGCACCGATTGTAACAATTATATTAAAAGCAAGTTTATCAGAACATTAAACCAAATTTTAGAAAAAATCTGAAATGGATTAACTTAATCTTGAAAAAGAGTTGGACCGAATTCCAAAAACCAGACCCTTTTTATACGTAACATCTGGCCCGAAAGCCTGTGGAAACTCGCTGGTTACGTCTTACCAATATTTAGAAGAATGACTAAAACACTATAAAGCACTGCATATTTTGAAGAATAGAACTTTGGAACACTGGCTTCGCAGGAAGAAGAAAAAGGCACAGCACCGATGATTGTCAAAAAATAGTGATGCCATCGCAAAATATTATACAACTTCATCCTTACGTAAGCATGAAGAATTGTTGTTGTTCTTATCAGAATACGATACTTTTAAGTGATTATATTGACTTTCATCAGCGTATGGAATGTACACACCTATTTAATAAAAGCCTTTTAGGATAATCAATAGAGCTTGTTCAATAGAACACGAATTATATACAGGGTTCATGTTTACCTAGGGTCGTAAATTCATACTTTCTCAATGTGGCGTTTCGGGTTAGCATATATTGGAAAAATATCAAATTTTTGTCATTTTGATCTACTTTGTCGAAAGCCATCATGCTAGCGGAAACGTCAATAAAAATAATTCAAGCACGTAATTTCGTTTGGCCAGAAAAACATGGGAGTTCAAGAAACCTTTGGTCATGAACACTAATTCTTAATTTGAAACTGCGTTACTGGAACAAGTTATCGCAATGAAGCATTTTCGGCATGCACGTTAGCTGCTGAAAAACGGAGCCCCGAAAAGACTGCACATGTCAATACCAAAAAAGTAGTACGAGCGTGATAAGTTGTCATTCGAATTATTAAAAATTATGAATGTGCATATGATGGATGCACTTCCACCATTTCTAGGAATATTCAATAACTATTCTTCCCTGAACTTTCCCATGGAAAGATTTCTTAGCGCTGAGCGAATGTTATTGAGTGTTGTGTTGATACAGAATATATAAAATAACAATAAAGAGAAAATGATCATGCGGAGAGAGGTATATAACAAAAAATATGAAAATAATGGGCAAAATCCGCAAAAAGAAGGAAAGTGGATTCGAGCAGAAAATAGGATAGGTAACCCGCTAGCAGAAATACGTAGATGTCGCCTTGAAAATTCGAGATTTTGTAGCCATTTTATACTACAATGGGTAGGTTGGCTCTTGTTGTGGACCTCGTATGTGACTTTTTTCCCTCTCCATCTTTGTAGTTGCATATGTGCATTCATTTCGGGCCTGATGAAGCCAACCAGCAGAAATACGTATCGCTCGGATTACCTATCCTATTTTCTGCTCGAATCCACTTTCTTTCTTTTTGCGGATTTTGCCCATTATTTACCTATTTGTTAAAAAATAACAATATATATATATATACAGGGAATCCCTCAACAAGCACTAGAGACGTGGCTAGAGAAGTGCAAGTATCAAAAACTTAAGTGTGGCAAACGCTGCGTGAAGAGGGGCTGTATCCGTTTCACGTCCAACTGACGATTTTCCAGCAAGAGTGTGGTTTTGTGAGTGGTTATTGCATCAACAAGACAATAACCCGGACTTTTTGAAGTGCATATTGGTGACAGACGAATCTACGTTCACGCGTAATGGGGTGAATAACTTTCGCAACACTCATGTTTGGTCAGTAGAAAATCCGCACGCTGTCCGTCGGGCACATTTTCAACAAACATTTTCGGTGGATGTTTTGGCTGGCATGGTGAACGGTATGCTCATTGGACCATTTATTCTCCCAAATCGATTGGACGGGATGCAATACCTAGACTTTTTACGCAACATTCTGCCTTCCTTGTTAGAAGATGTGCCATTAAGTGTAAGACAATCAATGTGGTTTCTGCACGATGGTGCACCGCCCCATTTTAGACGCGAAGTGCGTGAGTTTTTGAATGAATTATTTCCGAATAGGTGGATCGGACGTAATGGTCCCGTAGCGTGGCCTCCGCGATCTCCAGACTTAACACCATGTGATTTTTTTCTTTGGGGCGAAATGAAACGCATAGTGCAAGTGCATACGGTTGACGAACTTCGTCTCAGAATTGAACAAGCTGGTGCTTTCATTCGGGGGAGGGACTCCATTCTCAAAGCCTGCACCGATGCTTGGCTACGTCGTGCACGCACCTGTGTTTTTGAATCAAACGGCGATAACTTCGAACAATACCTATAAAGTACGGTTACCTAAAAACTGAAAACGCGGCAACGCCGTCATATTTGTTACCTCTGTTCGTGGTCTGCACCACCGCCGGCGTCTGCTCGGTAGCGCATCAGCTGATTTCATTTTCTGTTGTAGCGGTATGATTTCGGGTAGAGACGTACTTAGCCCTTCTCGTCAACTGGAGAGTGAGAACTTTTTCCTTTATTTTTTTTTACTTGGTCGCCCTCGTTTCACTACGCATTACCTTTGTTATTTCAAGGGTAGTTGTTTCTGAAAAGGAAAACCCCAACTTTGCGGACACCCTGTATATATACAGGGTGACTTTGAAGTTGAGTCATTAATTTTCAGATAATGATTGTAGAAGGAAGATAAACCAAAATATGTGTGTAAAAATAAAAAGAAATTAAAAAAAATTTTTTACTTTGTTTTATAAAGTATCCTCCCGACAAGTATTTCAGTGCGGACCTGTATTTGATCGTGAGGTCCCCTGTGAGGTCACCTGATTCACGAGCCCGTTGTACTACATTAACAAAGGCACGAGGGGTTGGTTGCACTCGATTGGGAAACCGATCCGCATAAACATGTGCCATTTTTTATTTCGTTTGAGCCACGCAACAGACACTATTCACACGCGTTACCGACTGACACTGACTGTATGTATAACTGAACTGAATAAAATAATTGTAAAAACATCGTTCCAAATTCTTTCGCTTTTTTGTTTCCGATGCGATGAACCGATAAGGCGGATTATATCCGTTGTTGACAAACACGAGCACATGATATTATTATTGAGACAGGGCGGTACTCAAACTTCCAAAGGGCTATAACTTTGTTACTTTGATTTTACCAGAAAAATGGTAAAGGAAAAAAACATTTCTTTTGATCAGATCTACTCACTATTAAAATAAATGACTCAACTTTGAAGTCACCCTGTATATACAGGGTGACTTTGAAGTTGAGTCATTAATTTTCAGATAATGATTGTAGAAGGAAGATAAACCAAAATATGTGTGTAAAAATAAAAAAAAAATAAAAAAAAGTTTTACCTTGTTTTATAAAGTATCCTCCCGACAAGTATTTCAGTGCGGACCTGTATTTGATCGTGAGGTCCCCTGTGAGGTCTTAAGTCACCTGATTCACGAGCCCGTTGTACTACGTTAACAAAGGCACGAGGGGTTGGTTGCACTCGATTGGGAAACCGATCCGCATAAACATGTGCCATTTTTTATTTCGTTTGAGCCACGCAACAGATATCACTATTCACTGATACTGACTGTATACAAATGAATGAAACAATCTAAAAACATCGTTCCAAATTCTTTCGCTTTTTTGTTTCCGATGCGATGAACCGATACGGCGGATTATATCCGTTGTCGCCAAACACGAGCACATTGAGACAGGGCGGTACTCAAACTTCCAAA